ATTAACTCTGGTGGCGCCCAATTGGCTGACTAAGGCCTGGTTTCCGCTCCTGCTGGAAATGATAGTCAAAACACCAGTAGTGCTTCCGGAGATACTGGACTTGCTGTCCCAACCAGATGGCGCACTGCCAACAAGCCCATCAGTGTACTACTTAAACGCATGGAGGCTCTCAGTAGACTCTCGCAGATGAAAGGTCTATCTAAGCGGGCTGCCAACGTCCTTGCCAGGGCAAACAGGGATTCCACCAACGCTGCCTACAAAATGGCGAGCATACACTAATTGGCGTAGTGGAAGGGAGATTGATCCATGCCATCCCTCTATTGGCCAGGTAGCAGACTTCTTTGTCCACTTGTTTGACGAAGTAGGTTTGTCCTACTCAGCAATCGTTGGCTATAGGTCAGCCTTGTCCCTCGCCATAGAAAACTCTTTGGGGTCAAGTCTAGCCGATTGTCCTACTATTAGGAGACTGTTTACTGCTTTCCATAATCAGAGGCCGAGGTCCTGTACAATTGAACTGCCCAATTGGGATCTGTCGGTTGTTTTATCAGCCCTAAGCAGACCACCTTTCGAGCCCCTCTTTTCAGCACCACTCAAGTTTTTGACGTGAAAAACGGTCTTCCTACTGGCCCTCGCCTCAGGTAGGCACCGGTCAGAGCTAGGCGCACTGTCCTTCACAGACAGTTGCGCCGCCTTTATGGACGATCAAGTTGTACTAAAGACACGAATTGGATTTCTCGCCAGGAACCAAATCCCAGGACACGATCCTCAGCCGATTGTCATCCCCCGGCTGTCAAATATTGTCAGTCTGGAGGATCAGGAGGAATTGCTTCTCTGCCCGGTTTGAGCGTTGAGTTGCTACGAGAAATGTACCAGGTTTTCGAGAGGGGGGACCAAACACATGTTTTTTTTGTTATGGCCCTGGCAAACATGATAAGCTGGCCTCCCCGACTTCCATCACCAGGTGGATTACTGCGACTGTACTGGAGATCTGTAATACATTATCCTCCTCAACACAGACCTTGCAGAGCCACCAAGTACAAGCACATGTGTCCATGTGATTGCTAACTCACTGGCGCTAGCGTCAGGCGCCCCCTTGAACACATTCTGAGGGCAGGCTTCTGGAGAATGCAGAACGTCTTCATCAACTACTACCTAAGGGACACGTAATCTATTGAGCAGGATCTCTTCAGGTTAGGCCCCGTCGTAGCGGTTCAGGTTTTGATTATCGACCCAGCCCGAACGACCGCAGGGGCCTCCTTTGCATAGGCGATAAGTCAGTCTCTGCATTCTTGCAGATAGATTGTCTGTACCACTAGCACTTCCTGGAAGCTCCAAGGTTTCGCTTTTTTCGACCTACGCCCTCATGCGAACTGTTTTGGTCCTTACTTCAAGCTTATTACTCCAGAAATCAGGTTGGGTTCTAGCTTTTCCAGGCACATTGAACCCTGTCACCATAGCAGCACTTTGGCTTTTTGCTCTGGGGACAGCACAGGCAAATTAAGACACCACCCTTTTTGGGTCTTAACTTGGGTGTTGAGTGATTATTGTAGAGTGTTTCATCCCGGACTGGGAAAAGACTTTCATTACCACAACAATCAGTGTGTTGTTTACATTACTAGAGATCACTACAACAATCACTGTGTTGTTTACATCATTAGAGATCAATACAACAATCAGTGTGTTGTTTACATCACTGGAGATCACCACAACAATCAGTGTGTTGTTTACATCACTAGAGATCACCACAACAATCAGTGTGTTGTTTACATCACTAGAGATCATCACAACAATCAGTGTGTTGTTTACATCACTAGAGATCACCACAACAATCAGTGTGTTCTTTACATAACTAGAAATCTCCACAACAATCAGTGTGTTGTTTACAGATCTAGAGATCACAACAATCAGTGTGTTGTTTACATTACTAGAGATCACCACAACAATCACTGTGTTGTTTACATCATTAATCCTGAACCTCCCAAATGTGCTTCAATTGTCATGTCAGAAAAAAAAATATGTGTTACCCTTTTTTAGCCAACTGTGTTTCAGTGCTCTTTTCTATGCTAGGGTATAAGCCCCAGATGTTTTTCACTGTGTCTGAAAAATGTGAAACTTGATCTGGCCTGGTATCACATATCAGGTCGGCCTTGAGTAC